CGCCTTTAAAACGAAAAGCACCATTGTAATTCTGACAAATTAGCCTTTTCAACGTACGGGGGGTCAGATGCCTTCAAAACATTACACAAACCAAAACAATCATGTATTTACGAGAAATAAACTTGAATATCTTCTAGACTCTTCAGAATTTGCTCAGAGTCAATCAGGGACGTTGTGGGCCCCTAAATTAAAAACATTGCAAAAGATAAAAAATATAGATTTTAATTCTGAAAATCAAGATAAAGATATTACAATTTGTATTTAAAAAATCTAAATTTACAAAAACATTACTGAAATGTTTCATGCTTGATCAGTAATAACCCCTGCGCCAATCTTGATCAATCCATCACTGGGCCTGCCTCATCAGACGTTGCTCATTCGTCATCCTTTTCAAGACCCCAGCACGTCGCTGGAGTCAATGTGAGTAAAATACTCCTTGGATTAAAGCACTTTTGTGTAGAAAGTTTTGTTTGAATACAGCGAGTAGAAATATTTATTTTGAATTTTTCAAAATATCGGGTTTTTACTCGCACGCGCGTGCCACATGTATGCTTGGCCATATATAGCCTGATGCACATGCAAACTATGCCACTGGGTGTACTTTGACCTGTAGAATCGATTTCCGGTTTTTCCAAACCCCTAGGATGTAAACAGCTGTTTTGATGTACGTTTCACTGGCTGCACTAAAAATATAAATATTCTGTAAATACCGAAATAAAAGATGAAAATCTGAAGACACAAGCTTGAAAATAACACTGTGAATATTGTTTTGGATTCTGGTTCGAATGAGACTATTAAGTTATGTTCGGCGAAATGTATGGCTAGTTTACATTGTTTGTTTATTTATAATGACATATGATACCATACCTTACTTGTTAAAATTCGCATCGTACTATTATTGTATTTATTATTAGCATGACAAAATTACTGGATGCTGATTGGTTGAGAGGAGTACAATTATTTCATTAATTGTACTGCAGTACAATTAATGATTTTCCCAAAACAAACAAAATGGCGGAAATGGATTTTAAACACAGATGTGAAATGAAATTGCCGTGAAGGAACTAGATGAAAATACGAACAAAAGCACCAAATTTTGCTTGAACAAAAGAACTAAATGAAAATACAAACAAAAACACCAAATTTTGGTTGAAAGTCTGGCAGAACTGGGCTTTGGCGAGAGAATATGATGTTGACATTGAGAAGTACATATTCAGTTTTGTCATGCTAATAATAAACAAGTAATCATGCGATGTTGCTCGTACAATTAAGGATTAATAGTACTCGTGATGTTTGGAAATTTACCAAATTGGACTCGCCCCGGCGGCCAGTCCAATTTTGGCAAAATTTCCAAACATCACTCGTACTATTAATCCCGAATTGTACTCGCCATTGCATGATTACCTATACTAATATTAGGCAAATGAAAACCATGCAATAAGTGTTTTAGTTCTTGTTATTTTAAATGCACGCTTTATCTTTACTACCACAACGTTTTTCGCACGGATTATATTTCGCGCAGTGCTAAAATTTGCTAACCCAGCACTGCACGAATTCTAGTACTGTGCAAATTTAATACTGTAAGACATATTGTGCCATTGTGGACATTTGACTAATGTCAAAATAAAATTATAATGACAATACATTACTCGACTTTGAACAAACAATAGTTTATAAATTCTTAAACTCTTTCATATACATAGTAGCCAGCGATTTGTAGTAAGTAGCCATAAAGTAGGTAGCCATAAAGTAGGTAGCTGGTAGCATGAACCCAGGCTGTTACCCTCGATATTCACAACTTTATTAAAGCAGTTCATCACATCGATAAATAAACACTGAGTATATGAACTAAACTTACAGATATTATTACTTTATGTACTGAAAATTTCGGGTGAAACACTTAAAAGACACATATTTGAGTAGCCTGCTCGCATCATTGAAGAAAATTTTGTTGAACAACCCCCTCATTTTACAAACCAACTGGAATACTTAACGACCCCCTGGAATGCCGAAATCTCCACCAAGTGAAAATTGCTATTCGACTATACATAACTCTGCCGCGGGGACTGGACACGAAAAAGCAAGAACGTCATGTAACGTCAACAATAGTGTGCTGCTCGAGCTGAGGCTCAGCAGCAATTAAGTTTGTCTAGCAGATGAACTTGGAATTTTTCAAGATTGCACTTCAAGCTCCTTACATTATTGTGGAGTAATGAAAAGCTAGTGTCCATATTTGGTTTTGAAAAGGATTTTTTAAGTTCAGCAAATTTACATGGTGAATAATAATGAGTTGGCATAAGTTGGTATGGAGAATTTACATCAGGGTTTATATCAGAATTTGTCTCAGTATTAAATAAGTCTAGATCACACATGCTAGGATATTTATCAAGTTCTTTTTTACTAGGAAGAGTTTGAGTTAAATTCTCACAGGAGTTAGGAAGGTAAACTTCGTTATAAAATGGTAATTCGCACAGTAAAATTTTTAGTTGATTTATTTCACAATTTAAACAACGTTGTGTCTAGTGGTGATAATATAAATATTAATTAATATAGTACAGTTAGCTTGAGTTCAAGTATTTATTCGGGATCCTTTAACTTATTTAGATCTTCAATATTTCTTATTCTTTCAGCACGGCTGTCGGCAGTCTTCCTTAGATAGACAATGCTATTCTTTGTCCAACAAAGACATTTTCTTCTTTGAATTTTCTCGCTTCATACAGAATTTTTTGAGACTTCGCAGTTAGATGATCGTAGATTCGAATCGACGAGACTGAGCATGATCTATGAAGGCCTATCGTGTTCGGATCTACTTTGCAGGCATCCCACCGTCACCTCATCATGTCGTCCTTTGCAAGTGTCCTTACAAACTTACAAATTATAGGGTTGGGCTTGCCATCCAGGGTTCGAAATAACGTTCCGAAAATATGTCAAATTTTGTAGGCTGTTTTTCGTAGGTGAAAATTTTTGCCGGTTATTTTCCAAGCGAAGTTTAGTTATGTTCTGTAGTGGGCATAGGCCAAATAATAGTGATGTAAACCAACACAACATTTGTAAGAACGCAGTAATACATCTTATTTGGTGTTATTTTGTGTATATGTACGGTGTTATTGTAAGCGAGTCATCGATGAATAAATATAATATTTTCGCCGATACTCTATGCTTTGAAATTAAAAATCACCGGCAAGGTCCTAAAACTGCCGGCTACCGCTGGAAGCTGGCAGCTATTTCAAACCCTGCCATCTTGCTTTCTGCTTGGTACACGATGAGCGGTATCTGTATCATGAATACTTATATCTGCCCCAATCACATAAAAGAGATCAACGCACAATTTGCTGGTTTCATATGCTGACACCTTTGCGTTTTGCTGTGGGACGCCGACAAGCTTTACGTTGTATTGATAACTGTGTTGTGTTGTGAATGAATGAATGAATGAATGAATGAATTAATGATTTATTTGCCAGACACATATTGTTAAAATTTACATAAATTTAGAGAATATAAATAAATAAAGTGGCGAGGAGACCTCATGAAACCATCAGGCTTATTTTGAGATCACCTCAAGATATTAATATAATAACAATGCTTATATAAAAAATATGGGGGTATAGAAAATAATAGATATTTAACTCACAGCTATAGTGCATTTGTGCGGCACAAACTAAGTAGAAATTCCATCATAGTTTTCTTAAAACTATAGAGGCTAAGTGAATCTTTTGTGTCTGCTGGCAGAGAACTCCAAATTTTTGGTCCTTGATAAAGTATTGTAAATTTTTTGAGGTTTGTACGACAAGTGTGGGTGCGATAGTTCATTGCTGATCTGGTGTTGTAATTATGTATTTGATTATTGTGTGTGAATAAGTCAAGAAATATCGGTGGTAATAATTGACTATGGTAGCAGAACATAAATCGTGCTATATGAAGTGAGTTGACTTTGAATATATCAAGTATACATAATTGTGAGAATAGAGGGGCAGAGTGGGCACGAAAATTAGAATTTGTTATTACTTGCACTGCACGTTTTTGTATCAACACCAGGGGCTTTCCCCGGTTTGAAAGCTTTGCATATATGCCGAAGTTCATTAACATATGAAACGTCTACTGCAGGTACTTTTTTTGCGAGTGTAGGACCGACGTTGTTGAAGAAACTACAAAATCTTTCAGCAATTTTTGTGGGATCTGTTAACGTTTGTCTGATATGAATCTTGTCGGGATAGAGGGCTTGTTGTTCCGTTTGTTAATTACTTCGTGTATCAGTTTCTATGTCAACTTCAAATCGCTTTTAGCACTTTCAAATTTACTCTCGTAATATGATCGCTTGGCTTTTCTGATAACATGAGTGAGTTTATTTCTGAAAATCTTATACAGTGATTCACATATGGAATTTGGTGTTTTGATAAATTGTTTATAAAGCCTATTCTTTTTAATTGATTTTAGCAATCCTTTTGTTAGCCAAGGAGCACCTAGGTTACCAGAATGTTTCTGTTTAACGACTTTTAGCGGGAAACAGGTTTCGAACAGTCTCATGTACTGAACTGTCTCAAACATTTTGTTCTTTGAGTTAAGCCCCAACGTTTTAAAGATGTAAACGAGTTATGGTTAATCGGATCCCAAACAAATTAAATTATCATTTGGATCATGTTTCGTTCAATCACGATTCAATACGTTTTATTTCAGTCGACGTATTATATATATTAATTTAGGGACTTTAAGATTCACATTTACGGCAAACCGCTAACCGCAAACTTCAAATCGTAATTTGAAGTCAACTGTTAGCTGTTCAATGTTAGAGCAACTTGTGCATAAAAATGCACTATGTGGACTATGAAAGGAATGGTGGACTATGAAAGGAATAAGTGGACTATGAAAGGAATAAAGATCGACCCTTTTCTGCCGTAAAAGTCAATCTTAAAATATTATCAAATTGTATACCCGATATCCCAAAAAAACAACAGACTCTGTTTGATGTCATGTAATGTAAAAGCTATCACAATGAAATAAAGATCATTGCATTTATCCATTATAAATGCAATGATCTTTATTTCATTGTGATAGCTTTTACGTTACATGTAAATGTTCTCATAGAAAGTTTCTTGGTTTTTTCTTTGACCAGGAGGATTGTCTGTTTGAGAAAATCTAAACCAGAGGACTTTGATTGTCGTATTTACCCCACACCACAGGATATTTGCCAACTTTGTCTCAAAGCTTTTACAATCCCCCCGGGTTTGCCCTGGGGTTGATCCCACAGGGAAGCAGATGATATGTGCATTAGTCAATGTCAGTGTCAAGTGTTTTCATGCACTGCAGGGTACCATGAAAGCACCTATGACAGTTGATACATTTTACTGATATTTTGGTTACCAATTTCTTTTAA